GAATTTGTTGTTTAGAAAGTAAAATAGGAATCAGTCAGCTGAGGCAGCATTGCGCTTCACTAATATTAGCAGGAATATAATTAAAAGTTTCTTGACCACATGTAAAAACCATCCTTGCAGTAGCTAAGCATGGGCAAGGTGAAAGAAAGTCTCTTCAAAAGCCGTACAGTTCAAAGTAGGTGAGCTAATGCGATGACAGTGAGGTTTTTTACTTAAAGATGTACAATTAATTACTTTTGCACAAGTTATATTTACAGGGACTGCTACCATTGAGGTGTGTAAAGCATAATAGGCAGCAAATCCTGAAGTTTTGAATTACTGCAGAAGGAGTGCAGACAGGAAATAAACATATACAAAGCAAATGTTCCATATCATAGGTTTTAGATAAGCAAAAGACATCCTCGTGATGTTAGCCAATTGCACCCATAAGTTTTACTTCATTCGTTCAAGTGAGTGTTTGTATGAAATGACAGCCATTGTTGCCAAATAACAATCAAGCATAAACAAATGAGCCCAGATTGGACACTGTGCCATCTGTAAAGTCAAATTCCTGGGACTGGGACCGGATCTGGGGATTGGTGTAGACATCCTTGGCTGGGCGGACACAACAAGCTGGAATCTACAAAGATCCTGTAGGAGCAAACACAACAGCACAACACAGCCCCCTCACCCCCAAGTAGTTAAATTTTGAATAGAAACTGTCAGTGTGTGCTCCCTTCAAGATCCAAGAAAGAAATACTCAGACTCCATGGGTTAGAGCAAAGTTATCCTTTTACTGGAAATCAAAGTGGAAGCTACAGATTTAATTCCGAATCTGAGGAATTGGCGCGCAGATCACATATACAAAGGAATGGAATTGTTCCCACCCCCCAAAGTCCAAATGACTCTTCCAATTAAAAGTTCTGAATATGATCATGTGGGCATCTTCAGGTGGTGATGAGGCCTCTGTCCGTTGACCTTGACATATTTTGATAAAACTTTGCAGCTGCGCAAAAGAGGATAGAAGCTAGCGAAGAAATGGAAAGTTAAAAACAAGAATTCATACAACCCCTCCCCTTGCTACCCACAGCAAAGGAATGCAAAACATCTCCAGCTCTCTTCCCCTCCAAGTCCCCCCTCCCCCCGTTGCAAATGACAGCCGAAAGAAATAGCATAGCATAGCAGCAGAGAAGATGTAGTAGATAGGATGCAGAAGATATCTTGAGGCTGACAGAAACATTCAATTAATTTAAGGTAAATAGAAACATTAAATTACATTCAATTGAGTTAAGATAAATAATACTTTTTTAACCTGGGTTGATTTAAGGTTAAATAATACTTTTTAAACTTTTTTAGAGACCCCTTTCCCTCCTTTTTTATTTATTTGTGGAGACAAGCCCTAAATGACCGATGAGCATGTTCCATTATGGCTATATTCCAGGTTGTACAAAATTGCAAAAAAGCCAAATATCATGTTGTAAAAAAGAGGGCTTGCCTAATAAGTAAAATCCATTTGCCAAAGTTGATGAGGAAACAATCTGCTTGGCTTAATTAACTGGAATATGGCAAGCTTGTGCCAGGCCTCTAGCATTGTGATGGAAAAAAGAGTGACTGAAAGAGGCCCAGAAAAGGGGAAGTGACTACGTATATAAGAAATATCTTTGGTTTTGTAGTAGCTGTTGCAAAATTAAAAATAAGGTCGTAAGATTATGGACAATCCTGCGCATAATATAAGCACCTGGAAGAATAAAAGTAAGTTAACACATAATGAGAGTCAGATATTAAATCAAAAGGCTATTGAGAAAAATTTTTGAAAGTTAAAATAGCAGGACACTTTCCAGGTATCATCCTGACGATCCTTGTAAGGACAGGAAAGAAAATTCATTAAGCAAGCAAGCCAAGGATCTGTAGACAAACAATACAGTTTACATAGTCAAGCAAAGGACATTGAAGAGATAAGTTATTCTGAAAATAAATTGAAAATCAGATTTACACAACTCCACTCTTGATACCTTATTGCACTTTATCAAAATTACAAAGAAAGTTATTTGCAAAGCCCATTGTAAACCTTTCATGCATTCTTCACATTCTTGTTGTAAACCCTCCAGATGGAGTCAAATTTTAGTGTCAATTCTCTGCTTTAATCAAAATATGGATTAAGAGCATGTACAGAGTGCAGCTAATTTTAAATTTTGATTCCCCTTGCTGAAACTGGGAATTGAACCATCTTCAAAGATAATGGTTCCACGCCAACTGCCAACCTGGGGACTGAGCCACCTTTACAGATAACATTCCAGGCAAGTTGCCAATCTCAGCCTAGCTATCTGAGGCTGCTTTATTTGAAAATTGAAAAAAAATCAGGAGATGAAGCTATGTAACCTATAAAAAAGTTATTTTCTAGCCTCATCTTTGTCGAGGCAAAAACTCAAAGCAGATAAAAAAAATTGTTCAAGTGATCGAAAGCTTCACTC